TTAAATGCAGGTTGTTCAGCGGAGCGCCTTATAGGCCTAGTTTGAAAACCGCTATTTTATATTATATTTTAATATATTATATATTTATATTTTAACTGATTTATTAGCTCCGTAAATTTCGTCGATGCTTGTGCGAAGCGAAGAGATTACAAATAAAACGTCATGAAAATCCGTTAGTTAGTAGTGAAAATGGTCGATGACCAAAATGTATTATTAAATTTACGCGATTTACACAAAAGTCAATGATTTCTGGTGTCTATTTTTTCATATTAATATCGTTTATATCAGGACTTGTCATGACGTTTAGAGACGTTAATATAGTGTAAGTAGGTAATTCACGTAATTATAAATTTAAAAATATAACGACTACTATACGTTTAATGTTTAAAATTTCCGTTTCACGCTTAAGAAGCATTGTTTGGAAATATATAATAGCAGTTAGTGGTTTAATGATTTTGATTTTGTCTGTTTTAACGTTTTTCACACGTTCCTCAGTGTGTTAATTTCTTATTTCAATATGAATCTATGAATCACAAGGCTATTAAAATACTTGAACTCGATTACTGGATATGTGTTAGTGAATTCCGTTATTTTTATACGAAAACTTCGAGTATTAAAAAAGTTGGGAGTCATCCATGAACGGAAAACGCAGGAACGCAAAGTAATGAACTTAATCAGTAGGTATCTGAGTAAAAACTTGCTCGTGGACTGGTATTTTTTGTAATTTAATACCACGAAATGAAAACAATAAAGATACTTCTGAACAGTATCGTAGTTACATAGGTTTGAAAATTATTATCATACAAGGATTTGTATACTTGACTGGTTCAAAGATAATATTTCACTGGAAATTAGACATGTATATTATATAATTTATTATTGAACATTATTCTAAAATCGTAGTGTTGAAAAGATTATAACATAACAATTTTTTTTTAATTTCAACTGGGTATACTTTATTTCTGTATACCTGTGGTTCTTACCGCTCTGTCTTTAGTGAATAATATATTACAAACACGTCATCCCATCGAATACGGTCCGTATATTATCTTCCTTTATATTTTCTATAGTTATTGCCTACTAAAATAAATCCCGTTTAAGTAAATGTATTCAGAAATAGTTTGACTAGTGAATATAACGTATTCAACGTCATCAATCCGTCAAACGTATTCATAAAAAGGTTTTTGTGGTTCGATTTTATTATTTATTCAAAAGAAATTTTATCATAACGTTATGGTAAAATTGATGAAATTATATCTCAGACGGGTCAGTTTGAGTTTGCACACTGAATTTGAGATGGTCTTAAAACAAAGGGAGTAGGCTGAATACTTTCGGACGAGAATTAGTTTTCTCATATCAGGTTGAATAAATAAATAAAAAATGTAGTTTTCTTGTAGATGACATTTGATTTTTTTATTCGAAAACATGACCAGATTGTCCGATTCCCAGTGTTATGCGATCATTGTTTGACTAACTGTAATTTACACATGACCGACGCTGGGGCGAATGCATGAAAAAATGTTGGGGGATTTTAAAAAAATTTAAAATGTTGATGAATATTAAGATTTATTATTTATTATAAAATATATATCTCTACTACTATATAAAATGAAATAAGGAGTTTTCTACGACCACGCTAACGTAGAAAAAACTACTGAACCAATTTAGCTGAAATTTTTTTCTGTTATACCCAACAGTTTGCTGAAGGTTAGCATCACTTTTGTTAATAAGAAATAAGTATAAAGTTTTTGAAAAATTCAAGAACAGGCTTTTTTTATGTTCCATTTCTGTGACAACACTATTTATCTTTTTTACAATTTTATGGTTATCAAGCTTACAAACATAGTTTTTTTTTTTATTTACTTTGATAAAATATACTTTTTGATACTATATTTGAAGGTTTATTAGGTTTGCTAACGGAGTTAAATTTCGGTTAAGTTGCCAATGAGAACTACCAATGCTACTCGAATGTATAACAGATGGCACTAAGAGAACATACCTGAACGTTCGTTAAGACTTACGGAGTAGCAATGCAAAGCTTTGAGTCTGAATTTAGCGTTTAGTTACCGATTAGAGAATGATTATATTTCAGCGCTTGAAATAGGACCATGACTACATTATACCCTAAGTGTCATGCGGAAAAATGGAAAGATAAAACCCGTGAAATTTGCTGCACTGACGGTAGAATTGTTTTACACCAAACTAATTCCAGGCAGTATAATACTCTGTTTCTAACATCGTTTTTAGCAAACGAAATAGTTAAAGGGAACTTCATGCCCACTTTTAAAATTCAGGGTAAAGTGCATCATTTGATAGATAGTTTATTACCCGAAAATAAAAATAATGCTAAATTTTTACAAATTTATTTTAGTATTATTAGTTAATGAAAATAAAGGTCCCCAGAGATATACGTAGTTTTGTACGATCGGAGTGGACACTTATGTCGAGTCTCCGAATTGAATACGAGTATATCTCATGATGCACTGCAATATCTGTGAACTATTTACGGCCCGAGAGAAAATTTAGGTGGTCCGCAGAAGAATTTGAATGTTATTTGCAATATTATTTTACTAACCTTTCAACGAGCGTGTTTCATATAATTTCTATGTGATTGACGGTTAGTGTATACTAGAAGCGAAAACTTATAAATGAGACTTAAGGATATCACATTATATATTTACTCAGAAGTTTTATAAAATTCTTATATCATTTGTTATTAATATTTTGTCACGATCAACATATTTATTGTTATCAACAACAGATTAATAAGTATTTCTTTTGTATCTGTATTCATTTTTAATAACGATACATTTATCATTAATACTGCTAGAAATATTTCAATATGTTTTCATTAAACGTTTTTTATATTTACTTGTCGATTGCATTAAACGATTCGATTTGAATAAAAAATTCTGCATATAATTGTCTGAAGGCAAAATAAACAACCGATCATGGATGAAGCCATGACGGATCGGCTAGTGAGTATATATTTAGTTTAATTTTACTTGGAAGTACATTTTAAACGTTATAATTTCGAAGAATTACGTTACTCTATCTTATAATCCAAAAATGGCCATTAAATAAAAGAGACCGAACTTCAAAAAATATATGCATTATCATGAAATCATGCATTCTCAAAGCATAGTCAGATTTTTAAATACGAGTGAACAAACCTTTTAAGTACAAGTACGTTAAATTATATTAGAAAAACACAATGGTAAGATAATGTATTTTAAATTTTGAGACGTGTCCACCCAAATATATTAAGGATGTTACGTGACTCGTGTGAACTAACTCGTGGTTAATCAACCCAGTAATTAGGATTATTATTAAAATATCAACCAACACGCGTAAGCGTATTAAAATAAGACGTCACCTGGTTCGATCTGCGATCGCTGTCCGTCGTTTTATGCTTTTATCACTATAGTTCTAGATATATTATAGATGTACTTGATGGTTCGTTAACTTTCTGCTATTTGTCCTGCATACAGATATCGGTGTCGTAAACGCAAGATTTTGAATTGCTTACGTCCCACGTCGACGCCTGTATAATATTCCTTAGGAAAACCGGGAAAGAGAAAAACAAGAAAAAAAAAAAAGATGGAAAAAGGAATAAAAATCGATTTTTTGCTTTCTGAAGTACAACCCTATTTTACTCATGTCTAAACGTATGAGTATAATATATTATAATATATGTCTGTTTCTCGTCCGTCCGGAACGAACGCGTTTGCTCTGAAAAACCATTGTACATCTCCATCACGTCGTTGCGGGCGCACGTGACTTTTAGGTGGCTGACATGTTCGGACCCTATACAAACCCCGCCAACTACACCCACTATCCATACGTCATGACAGGACGTTCCTTCTGTGAAACCGTCAAGCGATGCAGGGGCTTTTCGAGACTTATACCATTTTCCAGTAATGCCTCACTCGGTCCGTTGGGCATATGATAGATTTTCGACTAACCGTGTAGATTTATGAATTTTGCACTCAATATTTATGATTTATTTCACAGGAACACCTAAAAATCATACGGGTATCGTGTGAGATCGTCAAAATGATTGTCTGCTAATATTATTATTACCATTTTAACAATAAAAATATCAATATTAATCTGTTTAGCACGAATAAAGCCGTTAAAGGAGCTGATACTGGGAAGTATCATACATAAAATACACTAATCACCTAGAATCTACTAACGCATATTTATGTAGTATAGAAAGTTTAAAAAACAAAAGTAATACTGTTGAAAAATATTGTGTACAGAACGATAATTCAACCGATATTAATCACATGGCACGTTGATAAACTCTAGGCAAATAGCCGATGACGCCATTAATATATAATGAACAACAATTATTCTATTATTCTATAATTATATGAAATCACAAAATGTATTTAATGTGAAAATAGACATATTACAATTTAACATTTACACATCAAGTACAAAGTTTGCTAGTATATTACAGTATAATTTTGTATTGTACAAATTTTAGTATGAATTAAATTATTTTATTTATAATTGAGAAACACATTATTAATTGCACGTAATAAAATAACTAAAATGCATAAATTTACCAATATAATTTTTATACCTATATTTTATGAATAAATCAATAAAGCATTTAAATTTTATTGACCATCGACATTTATTTTTATTAATTTTATAACATAAAACTTTATAAAATTATTTCGAGAAATAAAATGATTCGGTACTTGAGCGTTAAACATTGTTGTAAAAAAAAGACAAATTTTACTTTATGGTACATATTATATATATTATATTGCATTATAGATTATTGTTATGATTAATTGTTTAAAGTACCTATATTATTGTAATCAATTACTATATTATAATATTATTATGACTTAATTCGTACAATTTAAAAAAAATACTATACAGTTGATAAGTAGAAAATATTTTTGTTTTTTTTTAAACTTTTACTTTGTAAACAATAAATATTCATTAATTGGTATAACTTGTTATCTTTATTATTTTAGATGCTTACTAACAATTGAACTATCCAGCTTCAATACTTGAATTAGTACAATAACCAATAATATACGATAAAAGTAAGTAGAATTATTTGTTATGCATGAATATAATATATTTTTTTGATCGATGGACACGATTTATTTCGACAATTAAAATTGAATGACCAACAAACGAATGTATTACTGTATAAAAGGTACAAATTTGTCCAAATTTGCATAGTAAAAGGTGAAATTTGTAGTAGTATCATTATAATATGGTTTATTAATGTTAACACTACTGTAGAAGTACCTAATAAATATTGTAGTGATTGCAATAAAGAACCTCGAATAGTGCGGTTAGATATTGGTTAGTTCGATTTGTGGTCGAAGGGATAAAATAATAAAATACTATGATGTGCATTGGTCGAAGTACAAATATGATACAGTTATATATACATTACACTATGGTTCAATTTAAATTAAATATACGACATTATACAGCATCATTTTTTTTCATAGGTTATTTGCTTTATTTAGAAAGCGCAAACATTAATAATTTGATGTTTTTGAAAATTTAAAGCGATGACATTGTAATTAATTGCACCTAGTGAATAATAATTAATTGATAGTTTCAATAATATGCCTGTATACAATTGGAAATTTCATACTTTTGATTCAAAATAATATTTTTTGGTAGTAAACCAAAAACATTGATAATTAATGTAAAAAAAAATGAAACATATAAATTAGTTAAACTTCTATTAGAGTAATTATGTAATAAAAATATTTAAACGTTACTATGTTTTTATGGACAAATATCACTTTTATCAATACATTATTTAAAAGTCAAATAAAATACATTGGCTGAACAAAATAACGTTTCAATAAATAATATGTTAAAAATAAACTTTAAGTTTTCTATTGGACGTTTGTTATTTATTTTTTATATAAGATATCTAAGAAAATAGAAATATTATTTTATTTTAACTCTGTATATTATGTACTGTTTATATATTTTTCTTTGTTGTAGCCAATTTATTTTTATATTTATAAGTACACTTAAAATTTTTAATATATAATTATAATTTTTAAAGTACATATTATAATAATGAAATTGAATTGGCCATTCCTTGATTTTTTTTTTTAACCATCGAAGTTATAATAATAATAATAATAATAATAAAATGTATTTAATAGTAAAATAAATAAATAAAAACATCCTAAGTTATAAAAAAGTAAATACTTATAATTAACAATGAATACTAATTATTGTCAAATTAATTATACCCTAATTATTTATTTAATAAATACATGTTTTTAACAGGTCCAAGAATTGAAGAAAAAATCAAAATTTTTGTCCTCAAACCATAAGAGTGCAAAAATATGTTTTTTTTCACAGATAATATAAATTAAAAATTATATGTAGGTATTTTAGTTTTGAAGTTTTGAAATAAAACTATATTTATTTAAAATAAGAAAAATATGAATAATATTTTTACTCTATTTTTTTAATTTTTTTTTTTTTAGAAAATTTATCAATAATACGAGACTTTTTTTTTGTTGACTCATTTGAGGTCATTTAGATTCATCGCCGCTTCTACTATGCCTCTCCATGTTTATCTATAGCCATTTCTTCTCCATTTCTGACTCCTAAGAGTTTCAGGTCTTTGACTTGGTCGCTTCACTATTATCTTGGCTGCCCCTTTGGTCTTGTTCGGTCTGGCTTCCATCTTGTAAATTTATTTACAGCTTAGTCTTCGAATTTGTAAAACATCTATAATGTCGGTTTCGTTTTAAAATTTCCCTTAGTTCTGAATTCGTTCGTCGTTCGTATTCGTTGCTTTTGGTATTCTTTTGTGGGCCGAAAATTTTCTTTAATATTTTTTTTCTCAAATGTTATTACTAGTAGTTTCTTAACGTCTGTTTTAATTGGCGCCCACGTCTTGCATGCATATGATATAATAAGTCTTATTAGGATTTTGTATAGTCTAATTTTTATTCTCCTTGATACTAGTATTGATTAAAACATTGGTATTAGGTAGAAGTAGCGCTTTTTACCTGCTATCATTCTACGATTTATTTTTTAATGACTATTTGCCATTTCATTTAAATTTACTCCAAGGTATTTAAAATAATGTACATTATCAAATATCATATCTCCCACTGAGATTGAATTTTGGTGATGTTGTCTCCATGATCATATATATAGTATATAAGTTGGTGTATTATTGAATAATATTAATTGTAATATTCTGCTTGATAAAAATAAACTGCAGGAGTATAGCTCTTAATTGATGTTTTGTTTAATTATTTTTTAACCGACTGAAATCTCCTAATATAACGTAAATAGTAAAATGCTATTAAATAATAACATACAAAATATAATTAGTTTACATTTTTGATTTGTAATTGAGGATTTTTTAATTTTACCCATTCCTACGGAATTAACTTCGATATTTTTATTTTGCATCTTCATAATACATATGTACTAACATTATAGTAGTGGTAAGCTATATAATAACGGAAGTCCTTTTTTTTTTTTTTTTAATACTTAAATAGAAAATATAATGCAATAAGGTTTCGGAACCTAACAATGCCATAATTTTAATGAATAAGCATGTTTATAAATTACAAAGTTAAATATGTCCATTGGAGTAGGTATATATTTGTTTCCTCTTTTATAAAAATTTCCTTTTAAAAATGTATTCATATTTTACATTGCATACAGTAATACTTACTGGGTATACCTGTATATTTTCGAGGAAGAACTTAACAATTTGGTATTCAAACCATTTTCTGATATTTCTGTAACCTGTCATATTAAAGGACTACGCAACCAAAAAAACTGTATTTATTTTTTTTTATTGTTTAAAAGTATAATGCTTTTAAAAATAATAATTTTGGTGGTCTAAAGATTATTGTCGGACTATTGCTTCAGTATTTAAATATAAGTCAAGTTTTACGCGTGACGTCATAAAATCACACCGTTCGATAAGCCGTATTTTTAATACATGAGTGGTATTTATTTCGCACGATTAAAATAACTATTGGGAAAAATTGATTTAAGGTATGAGTTTAATATAATTTATGATTTATATACATAAATGTTAGAAAAAATCATAATATTAATGAATTATTGAAAAATCTTCTTTTAAACATTTCACAGTTATTCAGTAATACTGTATGATTAAATTCACTTCATACAATATATTATAATATAAATCGATACTATAATTTTTATAGTACAATCCCCGACTAATTTCAGATTCCAAATGTTCAGTGCTGCATTCATGATTCTTTATATTTCTATTGAGGTTTGTCTAGTCATTCGATCCATTGTCCATGACTTATTTTTTGGCCTTAGTAAATCCAAACAGCTTGCAAGAAACACAATATATTTGGTCAGAAGAAGGAGAATAGGAAAGGTAGGTTAGTTAGTCTAATAAATCGGTACTATATTATAGTATATGAATATAGGATATATTATATATATCATATAGGAATAAGATATTTTTTTTTTATATAAATTTCATAAGAAGAATGTTCAATTTAATATTTTTCGTATTATTGTGTTTATATTCAAATAAAATATTTATTACTCACACATTTTTATACTATCTTGCAAATTCTAAAATGTTTATTATTTTTTTTTTATATGATTCCTTTAAATTATCAAAAAAAAAAAAAAAAAAAATTATGCACATTAATATTAATATTATACCTTTATTTTTTGAATCATGTAATTACTAATACAACTATTTATGTAGTATTTTTAGATAAAATTTTCATGTTTTAGATTTACAATACGGCATGACACATACATCACATTTAAAAACCCGAAAAACCAATACGTATTATACGTTTATGCATTCTATAAGAAATCAATGCCTTCTATTCATAATTAATTATTGATCATACTTGAGATTTCTTTTGAAATGATTTTAACATATACTAATCGTGTTTTTTATCTCACTCACAGTAGTTCGTCGGATGGGTTTTCGAGTAAATTTATTTAAGGAAATTTAATTTATTAAAGATAATTTTGTTCAAAAACACATTATACTGTTAAGTGTATTTATGATGTACCATATTTTAAAATTTTAATAAAGGTATTTTTTAATCTTCTAAAATTTAGTTACTAATTTGTATACACATGCGTTCAAAAATGTTATTACTAAAAATTTCCCATGAGTATCCAAAATTATTAAATTTGATTGACTTTGTAAAAAAATAAACACACACACACACACACACACACACACACACACACACACACACACATATATATATAATTCTAAAAGGAAATGTTACATTGTATTTTTTTAACTTATATTCGCTATTTTCTATGATTAATTGTACTACATTAAATGTCTACATTATTTTCTGTGATTATTTATAAATTTATTATTTATGAAGATATTTTGGAATGAACCGTGGCATTAGTACATTTTTCTAGTCGAGTACAAACTTCCATTATTTGCTCTACTTTTCATTTTTTTTTCTTACTGTTCATAGGTGCTTTAATCATTGTACTCTTCAACAGACACTAACAAATAATGTAACTTATGTTCAGTCCTTGATGTATTGCATAACTGTGCTACAGTTGGTTAAAACTGATTTAATTTAAAATATAATTCAATTACGTGTTCATACTAACTAATACAAGAAATTAATTTAATTGGACATTATTATATTATTATTGTTTTACATTAAAAATGGCTAACCCGTGGTCCATCTTTGTAAGATTGCAGCCCGCGAGATTTATCATTTACCAAAAAAAAAAAAATGTATATTTGTCCCAATTAAATATAGTAGTATGTCCCCACAACGCAAAAGCCATAAATGTAATCGTAACAAACTGTTATATTCATTAATAAAATTTTTGTTCCCAAGTATTGTCTATGAACTATGTTATGCAAGTAGTCATAAAAACAGTGAATTACATTCGATAACATGTGCTTCCGCACCGATAATTTAAAGAGTTCTTGAAAAAATAAGATTCAGAATACTGTGATAAAAACAATAATAATTCATTCTGTTTATTTCAAATAATTAATACAACAAAACTTATTTTATAATAATAATTAATCCTGTTTAAA